TATCAAATCCACAAGTGTCCAGACTAAGCTCCTAGAAATGTGTCAAGTACTTGAATTAACACGTGCCTGTTGCCTCCTCCATACCACCCGATAATATAGTACATTTGTCATAATTCAGTGCTCTGTGAGCTTAGTTTGGACTTCCCTGGTACAAGACCTATCAAATCCACAAGTGTCCAGACTAAGCTCCTAGAAATGTGTCAAGCACTTGAATTAACACGTACCTGTTGCCTCCACCATATCGCTAGGTAGTATAATAAATTCGTCATAATTCAGTGTCGCATCAATTATAAAAGCTAGAAAAAGCAAACGTCTGACGCAGAGCACAATAATTTCAAACGGAATAATACGTGCTTCAAATCAGGCATCCTGTACATGTTTTTGCTATTTCCAGCGTCCTGTAATTAGCTTTCTCAGTTACAGGGAACTGAACATAATATTCTAGACACATCAATCATAGTTTCAATTACTTTTTTCCTCTTTGTAGTCAACTAATGATTTATTCATAAGATAAGATTTTCCTCGATACGCCGTGCACGTTGGTGCGTTTCGTGCCAGAACTCTTATTCTTAGTTAGACTTGGTAAGGCTCGAGCAGTAATCATGCTTCGCTTTTGTTCGAACATTCTTCTATTTCAAGTTTGAAATCAAATACTTGGGAAGTAGATCGTAATAATGATCATCTAGAGAGAATGATTTTAAACGAGAAACGGACCATCGGCATTTGTGTTTAAGACTTGTTTAGAAGATTACCCAGGGCCTAATTAAAAATGCAAGGCAAACCAAAAATATAATAAGCTAAATTTGTCATGATACCAGTGAATCACGCAGACATAATTTAACGTATATTTTTTTTTTATATAACAATGGTTTAGATGTAACTCTTTCCTTTGATTACATTATTTTTGAAAGTTGTTTTTACATTTTTCTTATTGCAATGTTTTCAGATTTACTTTGCCAAGTGTTCCTCGTCGCACTCAGACAACATGAGGGTAAAAGCTGAAAAAACGAAATTGGTACCGCCGGACGGAGGATGGGGATGGGTCGTCCTCACCTCTGCACTTGTTGTAAACTTTCTTATCCCCGGAACAGTGAAGTCGTTTGGCGTCCTATTTGTTGAATTCCTTCACGTTTTCAAAGCATCCTCCACTGCTGCCTCGTGGATGACAGCTTTATGTTACTTCCTATATAATTCTTTAGGTAAATAATTCAGTCTAAACATAGATCTGTAAGTTCCAAGGATACTATTCAAGCGTATTTGTTTACTTGTTATGTGCGCCTTTCTTAAAGGAGGAAAAGTTTGATCAGTACTTTTAAGTAATTAATAATGTATGTCATCTTACAGTTTCAATGAAAGTTATATTTGTAACAAAAGTACACGTATTAATTATAAAATGAATTCGACTTATACAGTATACTATGCATAATAGAATAACTTAATACTAGTAGATATAGAAGTATTGTAAACAAGTAAAAAGTATTATCATTTAAATTGCAGTCATTCTCTCACAAAGGAAAGAAATTTAACAGAGACTTGTTTCGTAGGCCCTCTATCAGCTATACTGTCCAACAGATACTCCTACAGAACGGTGACCATCATTGGTGGAGCATTTGCAGCTTGTGGGATGATGTCAAGTTACTTTGCCAACTCGGTTTCCTACTTATATGTTAGGTATGACGCTATTAATTTTGGACTTCAGAACTGCTTTTAAAATATCACTACTGTAGAATCTCAATAATTGCATTGGCAAATTTACACAGTATATATCCACTACTTATAGATACTATATGCAGTAATGGGACAGGGATTTTTACATCATTGATAGTACTGTAATGTCTAGTGTAAATGACAGGAACAATGTCTAATGTATGTGGTAGTTTCTTCCAAATGATGTGTTAGGCTTCACTCTCTACATAAAATAGCATTGATTCCTCCAAACAATAACCATGGACATACATAATGAAACAATATTTATTTTGTAAATCCAGTTACGGCTTAATGGTTGGAATCGGAGCTGGCCTAACGTTTCCACCGACGGTGTACATCGTGACTGCGTACTTCCAGAGACTTCGAGGATTCGCCAACGGTCTGTGCATCTCTGGCAGCGCCATTGGGACTATCGTACTACCTCCGTTTTTACAATATCTCCTTGACTGTTTTGGATACAGGTAATTCGACCATACTACACATTTTATAAATTCTAATTTCCCATTAAAAGCCATCTGTAGTATTATACTATATGTAACTCCTTAACAAATCGTTGTGACAAAGGATCTTGAAGTTTACGTTGCTTTAGTTAAGCTAAACTAGGGTCGTAGCTTTGTTTCCAAATTAACGAGGTAGCTGTAAACGCCAGTGGCTATCGAGGTCGAGGCTCGCGTAGACCTCGCTAGAATTCAAGTATCATCAATCTTACCTAGCTAATCCAAGTTCAATGTACGCTGTACTAACAATTATACTTTAACAAATATAAATACTTGTAATCAACACGAATTACAACTTTCCTAAGATAAATATAAATTTCTTTTAGAGGTGCGGTCCTGATAATGGGTGGAATTACGCTAAACACGTTAGTCTGTGGCATGTTGTACCATCCAGTGGAACAACACATGATCGCCGTCCCAGTAGAAGGAGGAATCGATAACAAGGCATTGACTATGGACGAGTCAGACATTAATAAAAAAAAAGAGACAGATAACTCGACAAAGCTCAGTGTAATGTCACAGGATGCCAAAGACACGGAGGACAGCACCAAAACTAAGCAACTGGAGATTCTGTCGGAACTCCTCGAGAACACAGCATCCACTACCGAAAGTAACGACGCCAAGTCGAAGAAGGAAGAAAACTGTGCCGACGAAAACCTCCATATGACGGACGACCCAAAAGTGGATCAATGTATAGAAAACAAGAACGAAGAGACACTCGGGGATGAAAAGGATGAAAAGGATGAAAAGGATGAAAAGGATGAAAAGGAAGAAAAGGAAGAAAAGGAAGAAAAGGAAGAAAAGGAAGATGCAAATGATGAAAATTCCAACAAGAACAAGGGGAACGGTCTACATTATCAGAACGCTATTATACTACAGCGTGGCAGTCATACATCAGAAACTAACGCAACAGCCAATAAGAACAGAAGTTTTGAATTGAATAAACAAAACAAAGATGAAAAAGCCCTTGGAAGCTCTAAGAGTAGTTTGAATGACTTATCATCGGTGAAATCGATGTCTGGAGAGCTGAAGACAAAGCCAAAAGACAAATTACACTTCTTTGACCTGAGCGTACTTAAAGATCCAATCTATTTGGTAATCCTGATCTCAAACTCTACCTCAGCGATTAGCAATACCAACTTTATGATCCTCCTTCCAGCGTATGCTATTTCCCAAGGTTTCGATAGGCACTCGTCGGCTTTACTTTTGTCAGTGGTTTCCGCTCTTGACTTGGTCGGAAGGATCAGCGGCGCTTCGCTATCGGATATCGACTTTGTACCAAAGTATTACTATTTTGTTGGCGGGCTGGGAACTAGCGGATTGGCTTTGGCGCTGCTGCCAATGGCGAAGAGTTACGCGATGCTCTCATTTTTCTGTGCGTTGTTTGGATTGTCCTCTGGTATGTACATTGGTATCACGACAGTGATCCTGGCGGACATGCTGGGCACAGAGAAACTCAGCTCGTCCTACGGAATATCCTTGTTCGTAAACGGAGTCCTCCAACTGGTTGGTCCGCCTGTTTGCGGCGTCATATATGAATCCGTAGGGTCATATAAGCCAATATTTTTATCGTTTGGTATTATACTCATTCTTGGCACCGCGTTATGGGCAGCCGTGCCCTTAATAAAAAGGAACCATAAAAAGGATCTGGAGTCCGTATAACAATATATTGCTACTAGTGTTAATAGAATTCGAGTAGTTTTGACTAGGGGAAGAGAAATAAAAGTGGCAGAACACGTGAAATGTTGGTACTTTTACAAAGTAGTGCAAATATGTGGTGGTAAATTATAAATACAAGTGGTCGATGATAACCACTGTGCCCCAATGGACATTGTGCATCTTATCACGTGAACTAGCTACAGTTTCGCGAAAATTTAAGCGCATTTAAAAACTACAAAGTATTTTAAATTTCTTAACGTGGCATTTATAATTATCTATCGACAATGAGTTTTAGTTTATTTCAATTATTTCGTTTTCCATTGACGTTCTATACATTAGTCCTTTTATCTGAAGGAGTACAATAGCTCGTTACTAGTATTATGTTATCCAAGTACTTACTGTACTTTTTTTTTAAAGCAGATTGCCAGAATATTTAGAAAATGAAATAATTACACTTTTATTATCACACGTAATTATAATATTATAAATAGTAATGTACGTAGTGGGCTCATTTTTTTTACTATTGTGTAATTACGAATGACCGCGTGTCATGCTGAATAAGATAAAGGCAGAGACGATGTAAAGAAAATAATAATACAGACAGCAATGGCCTGTCAGTGAAATGGTCGTTAAGTTAGGTAGATTGCATTAGAGAAAATGGACATTATGTATTTTTATCATTTTAGTATTATTATTACTATGATATCGTCATGTATAGTTTCCCTTTAGCAATCAGCAGTACTACTGAATACGTTGTCATGATACTTCGTGGTAACATTAATCAATATGTACGTACATATTATTAAAGTGACTTTATAAACGATTTTTTGATAGATTTTAAACAAATCCTAAAATATGCCGTCCACATTAAAACACAAGATATATGAAAAATCGTATCAAATTAGTTTTTGTTTGATAATAATGGGCGAATAATTAAGGTTTAGTAATATTAAATGATTCATATTGTTCAACAAACACAATTTTTATTGACGTGTGTAAACGACAAAATAGTTTTTTACTTTCTGTCTTTTAAAAAGGTATTCTAGTGTAAAAGTTTCAAAAGATCGATTTGTACATATTTCCGCTGTCATCAATTCTTACGTTATTTCTTTAAAACAATTTACACAATCATTAAACAAATATGTATTTAAAATATCGGAAATAAAACAGTTTAAAGATCTCTTCCACACTAGGATACATCTTTAACAAATGAAAATTATCGATGTAACCGAGCAAAATTTCTAGAAAACTTATAAAGCAATTTTCTATGCTTATTAATTTTTTTTTTTAATTTTTGTTTTATTTTATAATTCTGCCAAGTACTCGACACAATTACGTACGTGTCTTAAGGTGAAATCCGTCTGCAACATGCCTTTTTTGCATTTAAGAATAAGTAATATAATAGCGTTATTTTAGGATAAGAATAAGATTAAGAGTTTACTCTTTTTTTATAGAGAGCTTTCTAAAACTTCACGACTGTGCCAAAGTATTAATGGGTATAATATAATCAGTTTTCGACAATTTCTTGGTGCTTAAAAATCAACGCTACGTTAATTTCGCTTATTATTACTGTATAGTATGTGCGACTGCATACACGTTAGAAGAGTGTTTTACGGTAATGATTATTAGTTAGTTACATTTTTTTAGTCTTAATATTTGCTCAGTTAATTTTTTTTATGCCTTTATACATCGTGCTTTATATATATATATATATATTTCTTTTTATGTAAATTAGAATTTTACAAATGATCATACAGCGTTTATTCGTTAAGAGCTCGCGGCTCGGGATCGGCGTGAGCTCTTAACGTAAAGGAAACATATTTCTAAGTTATGACGATTTTTTCCTGATGACGAAAACGGGATGAAACGAGTTTCCACCGTGCAGGCTAAACCGATTTCTCAGGGCATAGGCCAAATCGAGCTCTTTGCGTGCAGATCAAATCGAACTTTTAACGAATAAATACTGTACATTTATAATTAGTAGGTCGCCATAAATTAATTATACGATACTTTACGACAGGAGTAACACTTTTCGGTGTTTCAGTGAAAGAAATACCAAATGGTAATCATATTCTATAGTGACATTATGAAAATGTGTGTATTGTAAACTACGACATGAGACGTTCATTACGAAAGTGTTGATAAACAGAAATAAACTCGGTGTATCCTTTTAGTGATCGTAGATACGTAAATTTGTCACGCGTTACAAGAAAATATATAATCGTTGTTTAACGAGAAATATGTTTTCGATGATCAGAAATGGATTTTCGTAAGTAACGAATTTCAAAAGTATGGACAACCAGCAATGTTTCCTCTAACGCAGGGAGACAAGTAACTTGTGGAATCTGAGTGCTAGTTGAATTCTATTGAACAATCAGGGGATATACATGCAAGGACGTAAATGCTCTCAAAAATATATGAAATATAATTTTATTGAAATTGTATAATGTTTGTACTATACATGAAAAAAAATGGTAAGAAATATTAATGACATATAATTTCAAAAATTAAATAAAATAACTTTCATTTGACAATAAGTAGATGCTAAATCAGATGGTCAATTATGTAAATTGCACGAGTGTCTAGCTTATGTAAACGGAACATCGTTTCAAATTTCAGGTTAATAACAAATTAAAACAGTATGCTCTATTTTAGAATCAATATTTCATTTAAATGTTTACTGTTAAATTGATTTTAACATGTACGTTTTTATTTATCATTATCATTTTTTTTTTTCAAATGAACTTTCGCCACTTTCATAATGAACGGCTCACAGAAAGGGTAGCATAATCGATGGAAGAAATATAATAGTAAACAAAGCGACGCGTGAAAGTTGTAAGTAAAAAATGCTAAGAAACAAAGAACGCCGAATCAAAGAGTACCTTTTCTTTTTTTTTCATGACATAATCAGTATCAATTACTGTATTAAGTAGATGAAATAAGACTGTCATATATCATACTACTCGACTATATTCGCAATGTAGCTTCCACCGAATACACATGTACTTTTAAGTCCGGTAGTACGATACAATACCTCATAAGTAATTAATTAATAAGATTATACAATTTTATTTCATATTCTGTAGTATTATCGGCATGATGAACATACATGTTTTGGAATATCCAAAATAAAGTTTTCAGTCGTCTTTGTTAATAAATCGAAAGCTAGAAAGTAGTGAATTTTCATAAATACTATATGGTTATCAGATAACGAAATTTTTCTATGTAGCTAGCAAGGATCTGAAGTTGAAACGTTGTAATAAAGACGATTAAAAACTGGGTTCTACTTCATAAGTAACATAAGCAAACTTTAAATATATAACATATATCGTTATCATTCATAATTACGTTTTGAATTGTTTTCGTGTTCATGCCCTTTATCTCTAAAAATGACATTACGAAAAGTCATAGAAAAGTTTTTACTTTTACAAAATTGGAAAAACGATATTTCATAAACCCTCAAAATGGTGACTGCAATTCAGCATTATACAGGGTGGACCTCTACTCTACCTAAATACTTCCACTCTACATTTTTAAATACAAAATTTCCAACAACTTTCGTCTAAACAATTTTACAGTATCTGTTATCAACGTGGGTTACTGTGCAATATAGATACGCATTTTGTACTGTGTCGGGTCGGCAAATTTCTCGACTAAAATTATGCTGGGGAAAATATTGTTAAAAATAAATTTTTTTGGTTTTTTTACTCTACGGTGTTACAGAATATTAAAAACTATTAAATTTTGTATTTAAAATGTTTCAAATATCTCTTATGGTTTCGGAGATATTACCAAAAGAATAAATAATCAGAATTATTTCGAAGTGGTGTTTCCACCCTTAAAACCGTTTTTGGGCCAAATGGAAAACGGCATTGTAATTAAATCCGTATCTACTTTATTTCGACTTTACTCAGTCAATTACTTATATCATTTAGTTACATCGATTTTACAAAGACTATGTGCTGCTTTATGGAGTTTTCGATGGGAGGTATTCCTAGTATGTACAAAAGCATCACACTGATACGTGATTTAAAGTATGTATTTTCCATAATTATGATACACAGAGTATAACAAATTATTTATAAACGGAAGATGATTTTACTTTCATTCGATATTTTGAAATTGCACAAAATAAAGAACTAGAGACAAACACATTAAGAAACACGGTCGAATTTATACGTAAACAGTATTCGCATACTTACTTCTGCGAAAGTGAATAAATCTTGCAGTAATAAAATTAATAGTGTTCCTCTTCGAATCGCTGCGAGAACGGAAATACGATTCGAGATTTGGAATGATTTCCGTAATCGAAAAATGTATATAGTATTGATTTACTAGGTGGCCGTATCCCTTCGACCGCTGAATGACACGATAGAACGAATACCTTTTACCGAAGTCTGAAATAATCCAACAAAAGAAACAATTTAATCGATAAGTAAACTAACTGAAAATTTCTAATTACTTCCAGCGATAATTGATAAATCTCATGAAACGTAATGATGATGATTTACGATGTTGATGACCATGACGATGACGATGAAAACGTCTACTCCCTGACTACGCCAGTGCAATAATTGCTTTGTTATTTACTGCCTTGTCATACTGCTGACAGAAAATTTATCTTCCAATCACCGTTGCAAGTACGGTTAATTGTATTAGAGTAATTATTCAAATTGTTACCACGTTGCTGGCATAGCAGATTATAAATTTTATTGTTTATTTTCGATTCGTTTTTGCATGAAAAGCCACCACCTTCCGATTGTACTATAATCACTGTGAAATCCTGCAGAATTTGGTAACAGTAAAAAATGTATTTCACAACTGTTTAGTTATTTCATGATGTCGTTTAAATTTAAAATAAGTTTAAAAATTAAAAGGGACGATTACGTCACAATACTAGAGGGCTTGTCTTTGTGGTCTCAAATACTGTCCTTGTGATGGAATGGAAATAATGGAAGCTAAGAATACTGAGGATGACTACTGGGTGAAAAAGAGGGGGATATTCCAGATCGGGGAATCCTATACACGTTTCGACCCTATCTAAAGAATTGAGGAAATTTTCTGAAGATTTCTATCACAAAGGAAAGTAGTACTGGATATACAGCCTGCAGCGGACCTCGCCTCTGGCTATTAATAGTTTTTTTTTTTGGGGGGGGGGGGGGGCACTGCAAGTTATCGTTGATGTTTTTAAGTCAAACACCCCTATCAAACACGTGGAAGAACACCATGGGGGTTTTAGTGGGTAGGTCTTGCATCGCCGTATAAACGGTGCAGAGAATCTCACATAATGTCTTTCGAAGATTTTCTCGAAGAAAGAAAAGGATCCCTTTCGAGCTTGATTACATTCCGGGACGGAATGGCATTAATGACTAATAAGAGTACCGCTGATGCGTTTAACACTCTATCCTGAGAAAATGTAAGAGAGGGACTCGAGTATCATCGAGTGCCCCTTTATTTGATGGCGGGAGGGGCTATGATTCTTTAAGTGGTCGTATAAAGTGTCGGAACTATGTTCTAGTATCCCAGATCAATTCTGAAGGAATCATAGTCAAGTAAGTGGTCAACCTCCTCGTGGTTCCCGCCGTGAGTACCCTTGGAAACTTGATTCCTTGGGGAAACAAAGAGCCACCTCTGCGTATTATTTAGGTACATGGCTTAATTTCTTGACATTTGTCGCCATCCCTCTTCTCATGTGTACGCCTTTCTTATGAAAATTAGTTTCTCTAATTCTGTCCGAGTAATACTCGACATGATGCGCCAAAAAGTAATGTGACGCAATCGTCTAGGTCAATTTTTATCTATATAAAAATTTTTGAATTGTACTTGTATTCCTTCAAACACTTTTTTATAAAGGTTTGTTTGTTTTGGTTCTATATCTCCTTTTTTAATTTCGAATTCCAAGCCCTAAGTCATAATGTAAGAACATGTAGTTACATGAGTAATGCTATGATAATGATGATAATGGCGATGACAATGATAATCATGATAATGATAACATGGTTTTGTAATTCCACCTGCTTGTGCACCAATAAATGTGTGTATAGTGCATAAATTAATGTTTATAGATCAAAGTATAATAATAGATCAAAATAACTAGTAAGATAATAAATATGATCATTGTGAACGTAATTATAGTTTTGCAATTGAAGTATAATAGGTTATAATGCTATCGCTTCATAGTACAGGTATACTATTTCATAGTAAATGGTATATTGACCTTTTTTTTCGAGCCATTGAGAAAGTCCTTATACATTTCTGAACGTAGATACCTCGAGTAACTATCGCTTTTCATCAGATGATATACGTGTGCCTAAAATTTAACAATAGCACGGAACAATTTTGTATTATTCACTTCTCATTGTTATTATTTCTTAGCCTTCTATATTATCATTAGCACATTAAATTTGTCTACTCTAATCATATAAATATTTCTATTTAACTTGAATATCTTTATATCGGTCTTTTTAATTTTAACAGAAAGTTGTTTGGAACTTATACCGCTGCTACGTCGAAACACCATCGATCAGCTTTCTGCAAATTCTTCTTCGTTACTTCAAAAGAATGAGAATCGACATTAATTGGACAACTAGCATCCGGGCCCAAATACTCGTACCAAATCTCATTTATTTTAGTCTGTATTTCTTTCTGTGGCAAAGTTTTTAATTCTTGAACAGCTTCCCAGAATCTATGCATATCAATGACGACTTCAGGTTCCTAATATATGCTTATAATTATTCTTAGGGTACAGTAAAGTTACAATTTACTTACTTCAGATTTTCACCACTAAACTCTTTATCCAAAAAACGTATAAATTGCTCTCTACCGACAGGATCTTGTAACAATTCTTGAAGGCTGAACGCCCACCTTTTCACTCTCCTTGTTGATATTTCTTTTCTATTCAAGTAAACTTAAATTTATTACCCACTCATTGCGTAAAATACACAAAATAAAAAAGAAATACATACGCTAATTTTTCTTGCTCCCACATTTCGGAGTTATCTGATATCCATGGATTCGTGAATTCAGGTTGTATGAAAAAAGGATCATACTCTACATACTGCTCAAAATATCCAATCAGACTAGAATAGTTGAAATATATTAAAGAATAAGTTATATAATTTTCAACATCTCCCGTTATTCATTAAAAATCTTTGTTTTCAATCATATATGAAATAGTAATATTTAAAATAATATTTAGCTTAATATTTAAATAATGTTTACTTACGCATCCGAAACTTTTGATACTTTAGCGTTCGGTCTATCTAATCTAGCATTTAACATTTCAATCTCTTTACGCAATACTTCCAAGGATGACACCATATTTGACCCTGAATGTGAGGGAATTCTACCACTAGCTACTCCTATTTGTACATTTTTACTTGCCTCTAAACTTGGTTTGTAACTACGGCATGCTTTTTTAATATCCAACTCTGTAGTATTAACACATCCAGGCTAAAACATATTGCAACAATAGTAATTTCCTTATGTGAGAGGTGTAGGTACAACTAGATGAAAATTATTACCATTGGTCTATAAACATCCCAGAAAGCTCTTTCTTGACTATCTAACACTTTCCTTTCTAATTTATCTCTCTTTTTGTCAACTTTACTTTGTGCTTCAGCTTGCATAAAGATAATCTCCCATTTACGTGAAAACATCTTCTGTAACTTGGCCAAATTTTCGGCCTCATAATCTGCTAATTCTAAACGAGTTTTGTTTTGCATTGTTCGTTTGCACAAATAAACTGCTGCAATGTTTTAAACTGAATATAAATTTCTTAAACAAAACATTGGAGCTGTTTCCTTTTAAATACTCTTGTAAAGAATATTTTCATACCATAATCAGTGTTTTCTGGTTCCCAACAATTAGATGGCCAAAAATATGGTGTTTGAAACCTGTAGAAGGTATTATCATTTCTTACAGTAAGGCAGTGGTCATCGATAGGGAAAAAATATCCATGGGATGCCATAAGATGTGCTACATGAAGAGCCTCTACGATGTTGTTATGTGGTTAGTTCGAATTTAGTACTCTTTTTCATACAATATTACTTAGGTTTTTAATATTTTTATTGTACCTTGATCATCTACAGCCATGGTTTTCATCATCCATGACACTAAGTCTGCGCCTGAAATAAGAAAGACTATTGTACGAATTTGTTCATTACTACATTCATTTTGGTAGCTTTAATTGAAAATTTTTAATAAACAATGGTATGGGGCATCTATATCCTATACCCTAGTGAACATGTTAAAAAATGAATCAGTTAAGAATACATTCTCTGTAATATTTTACCTGTAAAGACAGAAGGCGTTTTTGTCATAAAGCTCTTCACTGTTTTTACTGGAACACCTGTTACTTCATCAGACATTTTTTCTACGATAGCTTCCATCTAAAATATATACATGTAAGATGGTACTTAATAAAACAAAAATTAAAGAAATTGTTTATTTAACAATTTCAATGGTTTGTAGATAATCAGAATACAAAGCTATTTTGAATACAAAGTTTAATTACTTTCTGGAATACAAGATAATTGGGTGTATCTTCGGCACACGAGGCAGTGATGTGATATGTGAGACTACTTTGATATTTATCAATTGTTTCCCCATTCTGATTAGTACATTGAATTGTCTGATTATGTCTATTTCTCAATTGATCTGCTGTTCCTCCGATATCACTGCTTTCGCTTGGCTTTTGGCAACATGCCGATTTTTCAGAATTCATAGTTACCATATCCACCCTACAAAAATATTGTCAGGATGCTTTAATATAATTTTTTTTATTCAATGTGTAAAAAATCATAGAATTAATGCTTTATATAAATTTTATTAGCAGGTACTAAAGGTGTTGATAATAAAGAAGCGCGACCTGTAAAAGCCCTAAAACTCCCCTGACCTTTTATGAAAGGCCGAGCATTGCATAGTACATCGTGTATGGGATTCCTGCATTTGTACCCTATGATATGGTAATCCTGCTCTAAGCAGGATCTACTCACTAAAATCCCTACGGTATCTTACCGCGTGCACAAGTGGTATCACTGACAACACCAGCAGCGTATCAAGTATCCCCTATCTCCCCTCTCGACGTCAATCCTAAAATAATACTAGGAAAAAAGTATACTTCATACGGGAAGTTTCAAAAAATTCATCATATTTTTTTTCAGATTTTCAAAAGTATGCTTTCAGCCTAAAATATGTATCACAAGAATCACCTACCTCCCTTTAGATCTTATAGAACACGTTACTTTTTTCAAATACGTTTCTGGTGTTGGGTCATGACAGATTAGGTCTTATGGAATCAAAATAAATTTTTCAAATTGAAGATCATATTTTTAATTATTATACGTTGTTGTTTTTGACCCCACAAGTCGAAAACTTGTTTAAATTGTTATTTGAAATATACTAAAATTTGTTTTTGGAGTCCCAATTATATTCATGAAAAATTGAGATTGTTATTTCAAAAAATGTATTTTATTCCCCCAAGGTCTAGATTGGTATTCGGATCCAAAACTAAATGCATGAACGTAATTCGGACGTCATTTAACGAACATAAATTCGGAATAAAAGTTGTAGGTCGCCAATTGATAAAATCAACTTGAGTTCTGTAGGTATCAAACAAAATTAAATTAGATTTTGCGATGAAAATATAAAACTTAAATATAAAGATTTATTGAAATTCGTTGAGTTGTTTAGACGCAATAATGTTAGCAGACATCCATACATGTATAATGCAATTCTGTTGCAATATTTCTCTGTTACAAAACTTTCCTTCCGTATAGGTTAGAAAGTCAAAATTAAAGTAGATATCTTCAGGAGTTCCATAATTAATAGCTTCTAATATGTTATTTGGTCCAACCTACATATATAGATTTTGCATCTATATCAAGCAAATGCTTTGCCTGTAGTTTATTTTGTTACGTATTGTGTATAAGACATGTGCCTAAGATGCCGATCAATGGTAGTAATATAAAAATGTAATTGTTTCAAATATTTTCTTTAGTTTTACAACTATAAAGGAATACCTTATACAACAATCGTATAATTTTGACAAAGTTATTGTAGATTAAAAGCATTTCTATTACAAGTAAAAACATTAACAAGATAGTAGAGTTATTTTCAATGTAATAAAATATAGAATAATTTAACTCATTTAAATTCTATCTGAAACTAAGAATTATGAATACTTCGCAAAGAGAATAAACTATAACTAACTAACTAATTAACTAACTAAGAATTATGAATCAGTCTCATTTAGCCTGAATAGGTTTAAGATAAATTTAATAAATGTGTCTAGTTCATGATCGAAAGATAAATAAAATTTGAAATGAAATACAAATTTTTCAAAACTTCATAAATTGGTTTAGATTAATTTTAATTGAGTAAGTTTTTTTTAGTTAATAGCATAAAATCGTTTCATGAAATGTTGTCAAGCTTTGTAGCTAATTTTGAGAAAGTTTTATTGTAGTATTTATTTATACAGAATATTTAAAGAACATTTATTGCTTTGAAAATATCAAAATGAGATGTAATTGTTTAGTATAAATAGATTAAAATTTATAAAAGTATACTTACCTTAAAAAGGTTTAATTCTCTACTCATGACATGAATGAAAGGAGATTGTCTCATTCACTTGATCGCACACAGTATCGAAACCATTTCAATAGTTCATTTAAGTAAGATATACAATAATCTACATAATAATAAGGAACTAGTGGATAAAAATTAATATATAAACTGATTGTAAATTTATATTTCAAATTAATACAAATTTATATCAATTACAATAATGGAAAATAAAAGTGTTCAATAATGGCACTTCACTACTTAAATTAATTTAGTCAAAATTAAATTAATCTTAAAATAAAATAAATAATCGCAGAGTACTTAATTAAAATTGTTGTATGTATCCTTTAGAAATTTGGAATCATTACATTTCATGCAAATAAAATCGGTATTCGCTAATTTTGCTAATTGAATACAAAAGAAGAATTGTAAATAGTAATAATAATAATTTACCGTCTCTTGAGATGAAAGTCCACATCACAAAAGCGCCCAAAATCAATCACCCATATCTCCTCTGACAGAAAAATTTGTTACTTCGTACATACAATAATATTATTTGCTGATACTAATTCACAATCGATTAATTTTGAAACTTACTTTACCATATTAAATCGAATCCGAAGCACAAATCTTTAGTTCTCATTGGATGATCAATATTCCAAAATTGCAACGGGTAAACACTCGACATCTATGAATGCTATACTTGGAAACGTTAATCTTGAATGCACTTTTCTAATTCTCTAACTATGAAACGTGTGAATTTCAATCGTTAGTAAACTGACAATGGAGCAATTATCTTCAACAGGTGAAATAAAGAAGCATCTTTGCTGTTTAGATGCAATTCCTCTACTATCCGAAACACGATCAAAACACGACTGCGCGTTCAATTCCGCGCTGCTATTAACCTACATTATTCTTCGACTGCGAGACGCGTATTTCAGCGTATTTATACACCTTCAAATAGTTACTTATTGACGAAAGGCGTATATATACGCTTTCGAAATATTACCGTTTTCAGCAGGAAGGTTTTCGTTGACTAGCGAAAGACGTATATATATATATATGGTGTTTATCTATAATGCTCAACGGACTGCACAAGGAACCTGAAGGATCCTTGCCGCTCTTGCCATTGTCGGGGAAGTTAACTAGTTTGGTAGAGTTTTGAGACAGAGGAACCTTGGCAATCATTTTATTTGTTTAACTTAAAAGTTGCGATGCCAGACAGAGCGTCCGTTATCTTATGGCACCATATTGATTTCATTTTTCTTTTATTACAAGAACTTGTGTAATATATGAAAGTACTGATTCTGGGGAATTATCTGAGAGGGCAATTTATGAAGCAAGGGATGCTGAAGTCCGAATAATTTCGTAGTTTATCGTAATTCTTATGATTAAGGTAAAAGACAACAATGGATTTTGTTTGGTAATTAAATTTTAATATAAAATATACGTTCAAATAAATCAGTTTGTAATCTACAATTAACCATAATTGTAAAAACATTCTGTTATAAGGATATTAATTATAAGTTTGCACATTATTCATTTTGAGACTTCTTTTTTTTCCTTTTCTTTTCAGTACTTTCTTCGCTTGGAAGTACAGTATCTTGGGCTTCTTGAAGGTCATCTGTATCTTTTAATTCTTGTTTATTTTTCTTCTTTTTCTTCTTCTTCTTTGTTGGTTCTGGAACAAAACATTTGAAAAATGTTTTGTGGCAATAATTTACTGTATATTTTAAATTTATATTTAAAGAAAATTTTGAAGAAAAAAGGCACTAGAAAAGAATAAACAATTTATATACTAACCCTCGACTACTTCAGAACTTTCGTCGCATATGTTAGAAACTTCTAGTTTTTCCTCTTTCACGATAGATTCACTAGAAGCTTCTTCTACAGTTTCTGTTTTAACTTTCTTTTTCTTCTTTTTTGATGATGGTGTAACTTCTTCCTCTACCTTCACTTGACTTACTTCTGGTTGTGTCATTGATTCTTCTAAATTTTCAGTGCTTTGTCTTTTCTTCTTTTTTTTAGGTACTTCTTCATCTTGTTTTGTATCAATTTCTTCGATTAATGATTTTTTTTCTTCAGTTTCTGAATGCCATCGTTTCCCACTTGGAAGTGTTGTATCAACAGCTGTAGGATACTGAATAAATTCACTTTTAACTTGATATTTTTCAAATTTTGCTTTTGCTTTGCCGGTTCCGCTTATTCTACGAAAGTTTCCTTCTTCTAGTATTCTTAATCGTGCTTCTAATTTAGCTCTATGTTCAGCACCAAGGTCAAAATTCCCATCTTCTCCTAATGCATCTACTCTAGTTGCTAACGATGCTTTAGCAGCTAGCATTCTAGACATTTTTCCTTTATTCTTAGTTGAAGCTTGCCCAACAAGTTGCGCATGATAAATTAAACCATATTTTGGAGTATCTTTTTTCGTTTTTAATGCTCGAAATAGAGCTTTTTCTGCACCAAGTATTTGTACAGTAGAAGCTGGATGTTTAGCAAGATTAATTAAAGAACCTGCATGTGAAATTAAGCGTGCTCCAACTAAATCTCCAACAAGTACAGTCAAATTTGGTGCCATTGCCATCATTCTGGCTTTAAGATAATCATATAATTGTGCTCTGTACTGTGAGATTTCGATAACTTGATCACATAAATGTTGAATATTTAAAATATCATCTTCAGATATTTCAGTTCCCATAGATATCTCTGCAGCTTCTTTCACTTTTTCTTCTACATCTTCTGGTAATATATCAGATAAATCTGAGTTTGCAGTATTTTCTCTAGTTCCAATAACTTTCACTGTTTTCACAAATGCTATGTTGTCAGTAATAATCTTTCCAAGTTCTGGAAAATGCCAGCCATACCACTCGCGACAACGCATAACGTAGTTATTTAATTCTTTGTCTAAGTCATCTAATAGACAAACTGCTTGTATAATCATAGTATCAATTTTATCAGGTGAAAATTTAAGCTTGTATCTAGATAGACTGTGTGCTAAACCCAATGCCATTGCTGTCATTTCTTTCTTTGGAAGTCCAACCAGCAAACTGTCTATTTGACTTCGTATGCATCTCATTAATTCTTGTATAGCAGTATTGCTAACACAAGGCAAACTGAGTTTATCTTTAATGGCATTACCCAATTTAGCATCAGCAACAGCTAATTGTTCTTGTAGTTCTGCACAATATTTTTTCAGGATCTTCTTCAATGATTTACTAAGTTTACCTTCTACTGCAGCTGTTGTAGCTGCTAAAGCTTCTGTAGTATCAGCAAACTTTTCAAAATGCTTTAATTTTACTCTGTAAAATAAAAGACAAGTTAAATAATTATGCATTTATAATTGAATAGTTAAATGTTTATGCGATATCAAAATATATGTCTCAAGGCTGGAATTGAACATATAGACAAGCGAGAGCACTCAAAGGGTTAGAGGAAATATTTATTTATGTAATTAATTGTAATTGTTCATATAAAAATTTTTCTAAATAATTAGTTTTTATAACCATTTTATAAAAGCGTCTTATTTTATTCAAGTAGAATGATTTTGAAACATTAACTTACATTTTACTAGCTGCTTCAGGTGACTCAAAATCATGGAAAAGGTCATCCACTTTGGATAACTTATTCTCATCGAGTAACTACGAACAAAAATTATTAACATAATACGCTGTTTATATTAAAATAAAAAATTTTAAATGTGAACACGTGCAACATTCTTAAGGTTATGTACAATGTTAACTTCTTAAAAAGTAATTTACCTTGAAAATAGCATATCCAGCCGGAGTTTCAAATAGTACTAACATTTTGACTTGCTTTTAAAAAATATTGTATTAAAAGTTAATTGATGATTATAGCATTTTTCATGCAAAAATACTTATAGCATTTCCATGCAATCCTCCCACTCAGGCACAGAATACAGCTACAGCGTATGCTTATAGAGGCGAAACTTTGCCATAGTTTTTATTCTTGACGTTAGGTTGCGCCATCATAAAATGTCGTATAGGGGTAACCGTTAACACATACATATGTAAACTCACATTTATATTGCTACTCTTTTTGTTTATCGTTGGGAAACGGTTCTCTAGGAAACCGTTGTCAACAGTTTTCAAGTCTTTGTACGTTACCTCTGCTCGTTCAAGTGCAGTGACTGTATATTTTAGTTTTTCTGTCATAAAAAACTCTCCTTGCAATCTTAGCGTTACGCCATACGCCATTTCAGATGCAGTAGCTCCGATTCTACACCACATGTTAGTCCTAATAAAACAGGTGGTTCTAATGAACCATTGGCGGCATCAACATCACGCAATTTGAATTTCACGCGTAAGTGGTGTTTGCAAGAGTCGGAGTGACAGTGGATAGATCAATGCGCCTAGATGCTAAAAATTTGATATATTAATAATCATGAAGGTGTTAACTCAATGCTGGAAGACTGGTGGATTAGTTGCCCTAATTGAAGGTTCCTTCGTCCCTATGATAGGTTAAAAAGCAAAAACTATGATAGGTTAAACTTTGGTTCAGGGGGCCATATTTTTTTGTTAAAATTTATCAATACTCGTATCTTTTAAACTATTGGTTTCCTAAACTTTTAACTTGCATTTTCGGATTTTTCAGGTCAAAAACTACAAGATTTGGTAAGTTTTAACTAAAAAAAAATGGGCCCCTGAGCCAAAGTTCAGCCCTATGATAAATTAGAGGTTATCCTTCAAGAGATATATTCAATCATGTAAGCCCAAGACTGTACTAGGGTGGGTGTCATAGAATAACTTCACTGTAGGCACCAAACACTGTCACTTGGCGCTATAGGAACTTGTTGATATTCCAGAGTCCAATGTGTTAAAAATAGTGGTATCATGAAGTTTGTGTGCAAAGTCACACGAGTTACTATAAATTCCCAAACAAATTAACAACGTAGTCATAGGTTAACTATAACAGTTCTTGAACCAAATGTGTCTATATTGGTTCCATTTGCAACATACAACTTAAACTATGTTGGGGCAGATGTTCTTTTTACCATGTCTGTGGGCAATACAGATATATCCATTCCCGTGTTAATCAAATATTTAATACTGTTTATGCATGTTATTATTATTATTTTACTGAAAAACAAAAAGAGTTTATTCCAAGATTGCAAGAGTATGCGAAGCTGTTATACTTCACGTGCAATAAACAAAATAGATAAATTAGTAAAGTGTTCAAGTCTTTTCGTTCTATATAAGCTTTGACAAAGTTTATGAATATAATAAAATGTTATAATTAGCTGTTGATATACAGGTGTATTGAAACTGTAGTTGTAAGTTTCTACATTGCCTATATTTTCTGCAAGATGCTTGTTACTGTTGAAGTTTAATGGTTCTTAAATTTATCGATAAGTTCATGCGATGGAGAAGTTATCATTTCAGTCAGATACCTCTTGTTTAGATAATAAGCATACCACTCCAGTAGATATAGTTTAGCATTGATCAATTTCAAAAAAAGAGTTCAAATATATTTCAGGAATCATAAGTTTCGAACAATATGTTTGCACAACAGAGATTAGTAACTTGAGTTTGTAGAGGATATAGGCAGGATTTAGGATGCCTCTTAAACAGAATCGTTGTGTGTATAGAGATACAATGAGAAACAGAGATAGAGGATGTTGTATTAGGATGCTGGTAACTCTATCACCAACCTTGTTCATGATAAGTCAATATTAACTGTTATTGTAAGTTTTAAAGTACTTTTATTATATGAACAATAATATAGAGATTTGAAGCCTCGTTTATCGTCAGATGCGCTGTTTTTACATCCAAGAGAATATTTTGTATTTACTTGGCGATTATTAACGTACTTTTATTATTGAAAACAGTTCCCTCAGAAAAAAGACTTTAACCAGTGAAGAACAAACAATAGGGAATGATTATGATTGCTTTATCGCCGTTTTTTCGTCCTTTGGAAGCAAACCAAACGAGCCTGACACTAATACGAGACTTTGTTTTCAATGAACAGAGGTTTAACAGAAATTTCTTCTGGTTGAACATCACTTAAAGTTATTCCTCATCCTCGTCGCCCGTACCAGTCAGCATCGCGATAAGGCTTTGTGTGTCGATGAAACCTTTGTCGTCAATGTACATATTGTCGTATGCATCGTCGACTTCTTTCGCAGTAAATTTGTCACCGTACGTCATTAAAGCGTGCCTCAATCTATGAAAAGAATGGTAATTTTTATATTACTAAAATATCAAATATTCAATTCGAAACATTTTACGTTATAAACCGTAAATGTATCAGACAGTGTTATCACCAGCATATCAGACTTAAATCGTACATGTAACGTCATCATAAGTATCGAATGCATATTAAGCAAAAAATTTGATTTGGTGTATGATAAAGTAAATCCCATGTCCGTGGTGCGGCCTAATAAATCTAATTGGTATAATATCTCGGAAACCGTAAGGCTTAGGAAAAAAAGCTTAAACGCCAAGATTGTGCATTTTCAAGTAATTCACAATTTTGGTACGAACATTTTTTACTTACGCCTGATAGTTTCCGAGATATTGGACCAAATAGTTTTGTTTGGCCGCGCCGCGTATAATATAGTATTTGGTAGGAATCAGCGCTGCAATAGCAATAGCATTTGTTGCTCACCTTTCACCATCAATTTTACCGTCCACATCGAAGGTGCTAAAGGCAGCAATAACGGTTTCATCGTCATCAGTGCCTGAAATGATAAATATGAATTACGACTATTATAATATATTACAAAGTGTTATCTACAATTATTCAAATCGATAGCCTTTCTTTAATTAGTATTGAAACCAAATTGAAGCTCCTATTGAAATTTATGTGTTTCAATTACAGAGTACAAGTGAAAATTGAATATAAATTTCAACATTTTAAATTGAATTTAATCTTGCAATTTAAGATTGTGAATTATATTTATTTACGGAACTAGTGGCTATTTCAGGGGTGGCCAACCTTTAGACGAGTTTTTTTCATGCGCCATACAATTTAAGCACCTTTTCTATCTTCTTACGTTCACGGTTTGGGGGAAAATAAGGATAGAAGTAGGATCTTCATTGCTTAGGGGTGGAAAAGGAATAGCTCAATCATGCAACTAAATTAATTAATTTACGCCAGTCCAAAAGACACATGGTCATTGGATCATCAATCTACAATACTGTTGTAGACCTCGCTGATTGTGCCAAAATTGTAAACTGTTACAAAAAATACTTCAAAAGAATAAGTAAATGCAAGAATGCGATACGCCACTTGTAATCTATCCAATGCGCCACTGGTTGCCCACCCCTGGGCCATTTCATGAAAAACTTTAATAATTACCTGATCCTGACATGCGAGTTGCGAACAGATTCAGCAATTGTGTGAAATTGATCGGCACAGGTACTTCGTTTAGCATGTCATCTAATTCTTTGTCAGTGACAAGACGACCAACGGAATCGAAAGTCGCGCGCAGGTCGTTCTTTCCGATTACACCATCCTTGTCTGCATCCATAAGTTGGAATGCCTAGAAAATAGATCCAACGAAAATAAACTATTGTTCGCTGTTGTATTCACGACTCAAACTATTAACTATATATTCCAAGTTGATTAACGGAAGGCTCGAATTTAGATTAAACTTTATAGACTTGTAGAATGACCAAAAATAATACATATTTTTTGTAGTCGCGGTAACTCAAGTTCAAGGGTCGAAAGCACCCTTCAAATTATGACCCTTAAGTTGTAATTTAGAAACGATTAGATAGAAGAAAAATTCGTTAACAAAAATTGGATAGTTTTTTATGTACTACAAGATCCGTTGAAACTTTTTTCTTCTATATCTAATCGTTTCCAAGTTGGCAACTTGAGAGACAAAATTTGAAGGGTATACTTGAGCTACCGCGATAAAAAAAAAATACGGCTGTTCTATAAGCCTGGAAAATTTCATTTAAATCGGAATTGGAGCATTCCGTGGCCATTTTTGTTATAGTTATATTTGTTATACGTACTTCGAAAACAATTGCTTATAAGTGGTTAGCGTTTTATTTTTTCGCATACCTCCTTGAATTCGGCAACCTGTTTCTGTGTGAACATAGAAAACACACTGGATCCAGTGCGTTTTGCTTTGCGGCTGCCACGACTGCTGGCTCTGGTCGAGCCAGATTCCTTAGGTGTACCAGTAGGAGTTGGTGGCTTTTCCTCCGCTGGGGGTGCTGGTTCAGGTTCAGGGGCAGGAGCTGGCGCCGCCTCCTCCTTCTTTTTAGTCTTTTTCTTCTTTTCCTTATCCGCCTGAAATTAATTGCCGATAAATAAACATGATTTATGATAAAATTAATAGAATACAAAGGAGTGCATTCACTCGAAAATCGATTACTGTCACAGATAGTAATACGCCAGATCAGAGTTTTACAATTTTAACTTTCATGTTTTTTTTTTTGTTTTTTTAAAAGCAAAAATTCCTATTGTAGAGAGAAAGAAAGAGTTGTGGAAGGAATCGCGAGTCGTGTTGGCGATTACGAGCCCTTTAGATGAGGAAGACGAACAGGAGAGATTTATAAGTACTGTGCAATATTCCTTACTCCTTAGAAGGATTTTATAAGGAATTATTTAATTTATTGAAAATTACTAGCAGATAGATACAAATTTTTGTTTTAAGTATTTGTCAAAATTGATCATAGTCAATATATTAAAGACTAGAAGTAGAGTCGTTGACGTTCACAGGGCTCTCTTAATGCTCACGCAAGAGGACAGTTTTTAGTGGGTAGGTCTTGCACTTAGGGGAATTCCACATTGCTTTTAAAAGATCTCCTGCACAAAAAATATTTAGTATGTCAAATCGGTATTTGAAAAAAATGAGGCTTTTTGAAGAGTGACACTCATGACAAATTACACTCCCTATAACTCAACATTCTTTTAATTATATAAAATTTCTTTCTACGTTCATCTCCTTTAACCGTTGCTTTCGTACAGTCACTAAACTCTCTACCTAATCGTAGTCGAACACCTTAGCAAATAGGCAGTGATCATTTTTTATTAAATTGCTGCACCGCTTTGAAGTTCAGTTAGTGAGGATCAGATTGTGAGCTAGATAAAATTGAATTGCTATTTACTTAATGAGATTCCACTTAAACAGGATTCTCTATCCTGAACATAATAACCATAATCCTTTTCCGTTTAAATCTTCGCTGACCGCACTTCAAAGAGGTGCAGCGATTTGATCCAGGAATGCCGCTGCCTATCTACTCATCTTCCCACCTAAATCGGAGCATCGATAAAAATAACTTTACCCCACTGAATGTCTTTTTTGGTGAAATGTAATCGAGCTCGACGATCTTTTTGTTTTTATTTAGAATGATCTGCTAAGGGAAATTGTTTCATATCGATAGAACGTCAAAGAACTTGGGACGCTAATTGTTGTTTTAACGTATAATGAAGTTTCAGTTTTCATGTGGATTGGAATCTTAAAATAATTTTCAGGAAAACAATGAATATATATTTTTATATCATTTATATATATATTTTTAGAAAACGTGATGATTATACATCAAAGATTGGAAGCAAAACATTCAGATGTTTTATAATTTCAAAAAGATTCAAATTTTTATTTTCCTAAAATATCTAGATTATCTAGATTATCTATATCAAATCAAATTTTGTCCAACCAATTCACCTATTAACGTGGAAGTTAATTTCTTTTTATTTAGAGTTAACAATACGTGTACCAATTGAATGACGTAATACGATAAAATTTCTTTTCAAATTTTACAAAACCCTCCCAGTTTGATTGGCACTAAGAGAACACTGAGTTTAAAAAATTGTATTTTTAAATTTGTTCACAAAAATTTCACACTCGTGTGTACGTATAATTCCTGCATTGAGTTTAATCTCCAGCGAAGCAATAGAAATTTGATTTGATTCGCATATAGAATTTCTACGGTGATAATCGACTAAAATATTTAATGCGTAATGTTCGTGTTACGCATAAATGGAAAATTCTTTGGATAATTAGAACGGAATAAAAGTTTTGCGTGTAATTGAAAATAAATTCCTAATAAATGTAATGTAATTGAAAATAAATTGAAAATAAATTCCTATAAAAAATATAGTAGCTGCGACATTTAAATGATAAAATTCTGACATAAGAGTAATATGTAATGTTTAGCTAACAGTGGGTTAATGTAAGTATAGTCGTGGAAAATTCGGAAGGCGTTACTCACAGGTGCTAAAAATAGGATCTTTCTATCGTCGGTATGATTGAAAAGAAGCCAAGACAAATATAGACCGCTTATACCGTGCCGCCTCTCGAGTTACTATAGTTACGTAATTTACTAATTTTTGTAATATATCCAAGAAACTCGCACATGTTCCTCGAGGCTGTGAAAGATTACACGTCGAGTGAAATTTGAAGCTACGAATGCAATAGCTGCGTTACCTTATCAGGAAAATTACGTTTAATGAATCGATTTACAGAGAACCGATCTTTCCCAAAATACAAAACAAACAGCTATCGTAGAACTTTGTATGTACTTTGAAAACATTTATTTTGACAATTTGCTGTTAGCGAAAATTTGATA